GGTTGGTCAGCCTCGTAACGCTGCGTTTCAGCAACTGCAGTTTTGTGTACCTTCACTGGATGCATGTCAACCGCACCAATCGCTAATACAACAGCAACAGTCGCATGATGATTATGCTTTGGTAGATGTAAAAGCATTAAAAGAGGAGGTTGATCAGCCTTGTAACGCTGCGTTTCAGCAACTGCCGTTTTGTGCACCTCCATTGGATCTGTGTCAACCGCACCACTCGCTAATACAACAGAAACAGCTTCACAATGTCGCAACAGTGGTAGATGTAAAAGCATTAAAAGAGGAGGTTGATCAGCCTTGTAACGCTGCGTTTCAGCAACCACAGTTTTATGTACCTCAACTGGATCAGTGTCAACTGTACCAATCGCAACTACTACAGCAACAACCGCATTACTATGCTTATCAACCGCAGCCACAGCTTCTTCACAATGTTGCTAATCAGCCACATCAACCACAGATTTTTCTAGTTCCACTGGATTCGCTTCAACTGCAAGCACAAGAGCAGCATCAATTTCCTTTCCTAGACCTATCTGATGAGTTGCAAGAGCTGATCAACTTTATACAGCGACCAGTGATCCCAGATGATGCTGCTCTTTACCAGGATGGAGATGAAAAATCCAGCATTAGCGGTTCTTTAGAAGAAATCGTCAGAGAAGGAATGAAGAAACATTAAACTAACAGAGAGAGAGACTATATTCTTCAGTCTTACTTACCCATTGCTCTGTTCCCTTCATCAGCATTCATAGCCACCTATTTTGCTTTTCATGCCTTTGATAAACTTTTTTGATATTACACATTTCTAAAGTAACTTGTTCAACATTTTCTTCTAGTTTTTATACTTAAAGCTCTACTCAAACGTATATAGAGATATAGATATAAGTATAACAAACCGGTCTCTTGATCGTCTTCGTCTTCTTCTCCTCGAGAGCATTGTTTTCCTCTGAACCTTAAACAGTTGAATTAAGGTTCCAATGAAAACATGTTTCTCTAGGTTCAGCTACAAAAGCAGGAATAGAGCTTTGTGTTTACCAGATTCTTTTAAGTCTGTCTGATGTTGCAGAAGTTTCTTTAAGTTTCCCTTCATTTCTCAATCTTTGTTAGACCTCCCCTTCTTGACCTTCTGTCGAGACAGGTGAAACTCCCACTTGCTGTTTCTGCATGAGTTCAATGCTTCTCACGAACGAGTGAAGACTAAAAAAGCTACTAGAAATGTTGAATATAGAAAACCTTACCACGCAACTGT